TGTTTTAAGTTTCAGTGTAGGAGCTGCCTCTGAGAAGATTTGGTTGGCTTGGGCTCTTGTGGGGGGACAGAGACACCCAAAGTGAGCCTGGCCTTTTTCACCGTTTCCCTGTTCAGAGTGGACTTGGCTAGGAGTGGGAGGGTTGTCAGAGGGAGCAGAGAAAGCCTGTGAATGCCTAGGCCCTGTGGTTATTCCTTCTCCCTCCATCAAGAGCCTTGGAATAGAAGCTTGCCCCAAGAGGATAATTCCTGAGAATTTTCTAGGACAAGAGATGGTAGTAATTAGAGCAATGGAGGTATTGAGTGGTCGCAGAAGGACATGGCAAAGGCCTGTGTGTGTTTGCCTCCATGGCCTGAAAGTGGAATTCATGGATGATGTCCCTGAACCCCAATCTCCTTGGCAGAGGAGGGAACATTTTGGTTTCCTAGGTAGCCTGATCCTAGAATCAAGCCTTCTAGACAGAGAAGGGAGATTTCTTGAGGTGTCCAAGTCTTGGGGGTTGCCCTCAGAGGAATCCCACATCTAAGAATTTGGAGATTTAGTCTTCTAGCAAGAATGTACTTCTTGGAGGAAGAAGACCACCCATATGGCCCCTGTAGCTGGAGAGTCAGTAAAGGATTAAAGCCATGAATGGAAGATCAGAAGACCTGTCCTTGTTGTGCTGATGATGGGCCTATGGGAGCCTCAGACTATGTTTGCCTTCTGGGAGGGTGCCTAAACCATAGGGTGGCACTAAAAGTCTGGAAAAGGTTGTGTAGGACTCTGTGGGAGAAGGATTTCATAGGAATGTCAAAGCATTGCCCTGCTGGTAATCCCAAATTTAGTTCCCTTCTGAAGTGAACTCATGGGCTATTGTGAGTGCCTTATGGTTTTTTGGTATCTGTTTATGGGCTCCTACTTTTTCTGCGGAGGGAAATACAGTCTGTCCTCTACTGGGCGTGCATTTGTTAACTAAGTGCTTGTATAGGAACTGGGGACCTTATTTCCCATATTTATGGACACCTAGACATGAGTTATAAACAAGCTAGCTTCAGATTTTTTCCAAAGTCAAATTTGGATGGGAACAATAACAAATGAAAAAAATTTCGTCTTTTACAGTCATTCCCTCAAGCCTCAACCCAGTTTCTAGGAGCCCTGACCAAAGTGCTTAGCACGGTGCCCAGTGTGTTAATAAATACCATACAAATGCTTATTTTCTCCTTCCCTGGGCCATGTGTTACAGGTATAATGGGAACAGTCTGTGAAGTGGGTAGAGTGCTCCTGGGTTTGAATCCTGCCTGTTAGACTTCTCAGCTAAGTAATCTCATGCCCATTTTCCTCATCTGTAAAATGGATACCACGATCCTCGCTGTCCCTCCCTCGTGGGCTTGCTGTGACACGCTGGCAAGCTTTGAAGCTTAGTGATTAATTAGTATGATGGGCCGGACAGTGCTTTGAAATTCATCCATCAGGCAAACTAGGGTTTTCAGGGGCCTTCAGAGAACAGAGGGGCGCAGCTGCACATTCACAAGCTGGTCGCCAGGCTGTGAGTCAGTGCAGCTTCCGTCCTGGCAGCGCCAGCATCGCCCCCACGACAGCCTCCCTAGGGGCTTGGCGGAAACCCGGTCCCACAGGCTCCAGCTGGAGACCAGAACCAGAGACTTCCAGCCTCCAAGCGAATGTTGCCAGTCCCGGAGCCGGAGACATTCCACAGCCCCGCCTCCCCCCGAGAGGTGCCCCTTTCAGGAGAGGGAAAACAATCCCCCCCATGGGGACTGGACCTAGTCATGGAGAAACAAAGGCGGCCAGCCCCATGAGTCACAGGTCACTGTGAAGCTGCAAGTCTCCCAAACACGCATGGTCATGTGACTTCCAGGCCGGGAGACAAGGTCACCCTTGTCCGGCTCTTTTCTCTCGACAGGAAGAGGGGCCTTTGAATCCCTGACAAATGATGGAGCTGGGGCTGCCCCTGGGACCGGCTCCCTAATGGGGAAGGCTTGGCACCTCGGACGCCTCGGAGGCTTGGGCGGATGTCCACAGTCAGGGTTAACAACCTCTGAGCTCTTTCATTCGCCATAAGAGGCAACCATCCCTCACCCCCGTCTCTTCTAATCCCAAGTCAGTTTTCTGAGACATAATAAATAGCCTGAGAAGCCATCTAGCTGTGTGCTGTTGTCCACAGGGTTTGTGTGATTGAGTCATTTTTCAGTCGTGTACGACTCTCCACGACCCCATTTGGGGTTTTCTTGGCTGAGATACGAGTGGTTGCCATTTCCTTCTCCAGCTCATTTTACAGACAAGGAAACTGAGGCAGACAGGATTAAGTGACTTGGCCAGGGTCTCCCAGCTAGGAACTGTCTGAGGCCAGATTTGAACTCGGGAGGATAGATCTCCTTGACTCTAGGCCTGGAACTCTATCCACTGTACCCTGTGCCCTGTGCCCTGGATAAGACAAGTCACTAGATAAGGACACCCCACTCCTCTCCTGCTCTCCCTGGCTTGGAGAGGGAACTGAAAGGCAGAGCTTTACAAAAGGATGTGTCCCTGAGGTGGGGGTGGGGGGGAAAGTATTGGGAAAAGCCAGAGAAAGAGGAGATGAGGTGATTTAGAAGAAGAGGAATAACCCCAAAGGGATGACTTCAAGGGAATCAGGTTGCCTGCTCTGGGGCCCCTCAGATGAAATGGGGCTCCACTTCCCCAGAGGGATGGACAGCCTGGCCCAGTTCTTCCTTGAATTGTTCTCACCAGGTATAGACACCCGGGGCATCCCCCCAAGGGCATGGGTCTTCCAGTAGAAGGGGGGCAAAGGGGAGCAGCATGATCACCCCTTCAGGTCTGTCTAAGACCCCCTCCCTGAGACGGTGCCGCACTGCTACCTGGTTCCTATTCCTTCTCACTGCCCACTGCACATGTACTTGGGAAATGTCTGAGTTAGGGAGGGGCTCCCGAAAAGGAGGCTGGGATTGGACCCCGAGGAGCTGGCCTGGGGTTTCTTCAGAAGAACAGGTGGAAAACACGGCCTGAATACCAAGAACTGTTCTCCCCCATTTCTGGGAACCCCAGCAAGCTACCCTCATCCTCACCTTCTGTCAGCCAAGGAACCTGGTTTTATGTCTCTGAGATGGTGCAGTTTAGAATTCTTTGCCATGTCAGGGGCAATGGTCTAACTTTTGAAAGCCAGTTGGCAAAATGTAAAACTCAGCCAGGGACCCAGCCTACCAGGGCACTGCCTGGTGGGATGGCATCACAGAACTGGAGATGGACAGGATGACTTCAGGGGCTAGACATATGGAGAGTCCCCACCACATCGTCTTCAACAAATAGCCACCCAGTCTTTGAAGACTACCTCCTGAGGCAATCCATTTCACTTGCGGATAGCTCTCTAATGTCCCTCCTACTTCTGACATCCCCTGTTCTGAGGCCCCTCACAGCTCTGACATCTCCTGTTCTAAGGCCCTTCCCAGTCCTGACATTCCCTGTCCTAAGGCCTCTCCCAACTCTGACCTTCCCTGTTTCAAGCTCCCTCTCAGCCCTGACCTTCCCTGTTCTAAGGTCCTCCCAACCCTGACATCCCCTGTTCCAAGCTCCCTCGCAGTCCTGACATCCCCTGTTCTAAGGCTCCTCACAGCTCTGACATTCTATGTTTAAGCTAAGAACATTTTCCTAAATTATCCTCTCTGAAACACTTCCTTTCCCCACCCTCCACCCTGGGACCAGCAGAACAAATCTCATCTCCTTTATATGTGGAAGACAATAGTCAGATACCTTCCCCTCCCCAACCCCTAGCCCCCAGATCTTCTCTCTTCTGGACTAAACATCAGAGCGAACATGCACCCTTCATGTGTCTGCAGATCACAAGTCCAAAGCAGCATGGAGGTGGGCAGACGCAGAGGTGGTTTTCCTTTAAATTACAACCCCACCCCCTTCTCCGTTATACAGATTGTGTTAAATGAGGGGATCTTGTATCATAATTTTGTTGTTGCCAATTGCTTGAAGCTCGGGAGCCAATGTCTCGAAAAACGTCATCGTGTCTGTCCTGGCGCTTTGCCTTTGGGGTGGAGACTGAGGCAGCTGCTGAGAGGGCCACGGTAATGCCTTTTGGTCACGAAGTGTTCACAGTTCTACAACATCAGAGACTAGATTCCTCTGGGTTCATCCTTTTAGGTCAATGAGCAATCGGGGTTCCAATCCTAGGTCTGGTCCCTTAGCGCTACGAGCGACCACAGGCTTCCTCTAGTCTTCTCCCCATTTTAAACAGGAGGATAGTTATCACTTGCCCAGAGTCAACAAGCGATACTAAGTGACAGAGGCTGGGTTTGAACTCAGGTCCTCTGAATCCAAATTTAGCTTTCTTTCCACTCTCCTCCTCTGCCCTTCCTACTCACTGACTATGGGAATTTCCAAAGAAAGAAGGCATTGTTAGTTGTCAACAGTCTTACATACAGTAGGCACTTAATAAATGCTTCTTGTCTGACTAGAACCATAGACCTGGAATGCAGGGTGTGCTTGGACTTCACATGATCCACATTTTAGAGGAGGAAACAAAGTGAGACAAGAGGGCAAGGCGGCAGTCCCTTAGCTCCCCAGGAGCAGCCGCATGCTGGCCCAAGGACACCCCCAGGAGACGCATACAGCTGGGCTGGAGCTCAGCCCAAACCTTGAATGTCCCTTTTACATGATGTCTCCCAGTGATTCTGCTTCTCTTTGTATCCCCAGCACTTGGTAAGAGCATCTGGCACACCCTAAGTGCCTAATAAATGCTCGTTGGTGGACTGACTCCCAGTCTACTTTCTACTGTATAAACCTGGATTAATGTCCAATGCCATCAGATACCTTCAGCCTAAATCCTGTGTTGGGACACAGCGCTGACATCTGAATCATCTCTACATTAGGAAAGGCCCTAGGAGAAGTCACGGCCCAGCATTTCGGCCGACTCCCATGTCCTCTCCCTTGCCAGAGGCCTCTGGGGATGGTGGCATCCTGGGGGAAATGAAAATGTTTGGTAACACCAGTAGGTTTACAACAATGAGAAAATTTATTTTCTCCAGACAGTAAAATAATATTTCTTTCTCTCTTTTCTGTAAAGTACCAGCACATTCCATTTTCTTAAATAACAAAATTCCTAAAAATATATATTAAATTGTACACAGTGTGTCACACTTCATCTTCCATCTTAAAATCCATGATGTTTCTATTTTATTCCCAAAGTTGCATATTAAGAGCGTATTTACAAATCAAACTTCATCTTCCAAAGATAAAAATCCAGACAGAGGACTCGCAACGTTCTCCGCCGGAGTGTGTGAATGCCACTGGCGGCCTCTCTCTGGAGGCGGGGAGAGGGGCCCCCACTTCAGCCTTCTGACAGCCTCCTCACGTGGACGCCGAGGTCCAATGCTTCTCTCTCCCGGCTCTTGGCTGGGGAGGCCATTCTGCAGGTGGGTGGATGGCCTGAGAGGGGGTCACTTGAGGGGCCTGTGCTCTGATGGGAGAGGGGAGGGATGGAGGGAAGGAAGGTGAGTGGGGTCGAAAAGCTCGGGAATTAGACCCCAGGCCAGAGAGGCCCCAGCCAGAGACTTGGCAAGGGGTCTAACCACAAGGAGGGGGAAGGGAAACAAGGGCAGCAGAGGAAGCACCATCACATGCCCAAGGGCAAGATGAGGAAAGCAGACGCACCAAGAGGAAACGACCCGACCTGAAGCCCGCAGTGAATGCCAGCGATGTGCATGCGTGCGTGTGCCATTCAGACTCACTGAGGGGTTGGCACGGACGGGGAGAGTGGGCCTCGGACCCAGGGAGCTGGGGATTCAGGGCAAACGAGTGCTGCCGTTCACATAAGTGCTTTTCATGACTAAGTATAGCCCCCCCAGAGTCTACACTGGCAGACCCTGGCTCACCACAACACAACCCCATGGAAAGCGAGGCCCCCGAAGGGAGACAGAACAATCTTTTCGAGCTGGAAAGGCCTTGAGAGGTCATGCTTACAGATGAGGAGGGAAGGGAAGAGGGTGGTGGGGCCTCGAGTTCCGGCCCCCTCTGCCTGGCAGGAGCAGCTGGACCCGGGCAAGGGGCAGCCATCTACTGAGCCTACATTCTTGGGCCTGGGACCCAGCAGACACTAGGAAACCTAGCAGGGCCCCTCTGCCTCAGTCAGGCCGTCCGTAACTTATCACAGGAGAACTTCCCAGGGAGGTCCTGAACTGCCGCCCTCCCCCTGGACGGGGAGGCCCCCTGGGTGCCGGACCTGCTGGGAGGCTGATGGCCTGGGGTAGTGAGCGCACCCATCCCTTCCTCCCTGAGAAGGCCCTCAGAAGCTCCTCTCACATGCTGAGTTTTAAGTCTCTCATTTGACTGGATGGTCACCCTGGCTTGCTCTGGAAAAGGATGAGCCTTTGGGCCTGGGCTCCTCCGCCTTTCTCAGATGTTTTCTTGGAGTCTGGTACCCGCCCACCCCCCTTCCCAGATGGGTATTTGTTTTCTTGGGGGCTCTCTAGGGGAAGTACCCAGGGGAACCTGGTGTTGACCAGCTCATTCCAGAACCCAGGTGGACAGGCAGAGAGAGCTGGCCGGTGAGTGTCCTAGACGGCTACTCTGGGCTTTTGGCCTCATCTCCTCATGCCTGTGTGGAGTAGGTGGGGTGAGGAAGACTTTCCTAAAGGCCAACCCGACAGCCACTCCTGTGCTGGGAGGGGACCTTGGCTGGACTTCAGGGCCCGGTGCCTCATGCGGGGCTATTCTCAGCCCAGGCCCCTCGGCTGCACACACCTGTCCCAAGTGTTTGTAAGCAGATCCCAGGAGCACTGAGAATAGCCTGGTGGGGTGGCCCTGCTAGCAGGATGCACTCCCCAAAGACCCCCAGCTAAGGACACAGCTCCTGCCTCCTCCCTCAGGCCCCAGAGCCAGACTGAGACCCCCGCTCCCGTCACATCCCAATGGGCCCTTAAAGCAAAGCTGCGGCCACATTCCTCCACATGCGAGGGTCTGGCTTGTGCGTCTTCAGCTCTTCCTCTTCCTTTGTCCTTGCCCCCGACTCAGGTTACCAGCCACCGCCCCCCAAGCAGACGGAACCCAGCTGTTCTTCCATGCCCGCTGCAGAGTTGGGACAGAACTCACTGGGGAGTGGCTCAGTGACTTTGGGGAGGTATGCACAGAACTTAAAATACCGTGTGTGTGAAGTCAGAAGCCAGCCCAGCACAAAGGCCCCTCCTCAGACAGATGGCACCGGCCAGACACCCACACAAAGCCCAGGGGGCCCCTCGGAGGCGAGCTGCTCTGCTCTCAGCTGCTGTTCTCAAATGGCCGTGGAACTTTTAAAATAGCGACAGCCTTCAGTCCCCAGCCCAAGGCAGCTGGGGCTCAGTCCTGGGGGCCTAAGGGCTAGAAGCATCTGTTTCTCAGAGGCCTCTCTGTGGGTCTGTGCTGGTCACTTCTTTGGACACCCCCTCTGGTCTCCGGATGGCGGGGAGGGGGAGGGGGAGGGGAGATGGCCACATCACCCTTGGAGCGGGAAGCCTCTGCAGCAGGGCGACCCCTGCAGAGTCAGCACAGCATCCCAGGGGCCTCAGCCACACCGATGCCTGTTCAGGGCATCATGGCGGAGTCAGATGACCTTGGATCAGCTCCTGGGAATGCCCGCTCCTCGAGCCTGCTCTACCAGACAGGCCGCCCAGAACATCAGACCCACCTGATGCTGCCAGGGCTGGGACGGGGCTGCCCACTCCAGGCCACTGGGGAAGTGAGCCGTCTTCAGCACTGGGCACAGAGGCAGGCCAAGGAGGGCCCATGGTGGTGGCCCTTGGACTACTGAGATAGAAGGGAAGCAGAGGACCGAGCACATGGCCAGGGAGGGGCGCTGAGCGGGCCACGGCCTAATGCGAAGTCTCACTGTCTAGACCCGGACATGTGGCTAACCTTAGATTTGTCAAATCCAGGCCCAGGCCAAGCCTGCATCCAGACTCTTACTGACTGGTAGGAGCCGGTGGCCAGACAAAGGGCAGGGTGGAAGGAGAGGGCCGCCTCGCCGGCCCAGAGCCTCAGCTTTGGTCTATGGCAGGGGTGGGGATGGGGCTGAGTGTGAGGGAGGCCCTGTGACCCGGCCGTGGGGGGGCCCTGGTACCGAGGACAAAGCTGGGGAGGGGGTGTCGGCCAGGCCCAGCGGCCTGCTTAGTCACCCACGAGGGGGTTGCGGTCATCCTGCTGGCTCTGGCCCTTCAGTTTCTTCTTGAAGATGGAGACAGAGGTGGAGGGCTTGTAGAAGATGCTCCAGATCTCTCCCGGAGGCCCAGGCTGGTGGCAGTCCCTTAGCTCCCCAGGAGCAGCTGCGTGCTGGGCCCTGCAGAGGCACAAACACACGGGGTTTTCCCGGGCTTTTTCCCCACGCGAGGCTGCAGCATCATGGCCTCACTCCCAGGGTCACCGAGCCAGCGCCTCCCATCTTACAAATAGCTGAAGCCAAAGCCGGCCCAGCCCCCGGGGTCTCCCCCAAAGCTGCCTCGGCACAGTGTCCCCAGGAGCTGTGCAGAGACAGGAGCAGAGCAGCTCAGGCAGTGGGAGGCCCTCCCAGGACATGTTAAGTCATGACTTCTTGGCAGAGGGCTCAAGAGGGAGCTTGGTAAACATTAATTAAGGACATTCTTCCAGAGACAAATGAAAAGCCCAGAATGGAGAGGCTCACAGAGGGAGGGAGCCCCCGAATGATGGGCAGAGCTCAGGGCGGCTTCCGCAGTGGAGGAGACAGACTGTTTGAACAGGTGTTTCAGCAGGGCCGTGGGACAGAAGCCTGGTGCTGGGGGGGAGGGGAGGGGGGCCTGGAAATGGAGGGAGTGGCTGGGGCGTTCTTCAGAAGGCACAGCCAGCCCCAAACGGGCCTGGTGCGGTTCTGGGTGCTGGAGGTTGTGAGAAGAGGAAACCCTTTTCCCAAGGAATTTGAGCTAAAGGCTCAGAGAAAACACCCTGAGCAGGAACTTGTAAACATAGCACCAAACAGCTGGAAAGTGGGAGGTGAGGGATGAAAACCGTCCCTTGGCTCCCGTGGCCCGGGCCGGGCTCAGGAGGGCGCCGGGGCACTGGCGTCTGCTCCCCACCGACAAACCTCGGCCTGTCGCCATCAGCCCAGAAGAGGGGCACTGTCTTCCTTTTTATCCCCAAGCTGTTCCAATCTTAGGCAAATTCCTGGCCCTGATGGGCAGGATTGGGCCAGCCAGGCTGAGGCTTGAGGTTGGCCCGGGGGGTCTGGAGCCCCACACGCCCCCCTCCCCACACTTACTTGAATGTGATGTGCAGGAGGACCTTGGCTAAAATGGCTGTAACGGTGAGGATGAGCAGGCTTGCGAGGCCATACACTGTCCACCCTGCGAAAGGCAGAAGGCAGGGATTACTGTTTGTTCTGTCTTCACAGGGACAGCCTTGCCCTCCAGTGGAGTTGAGAGGACAGGGCTCAGACCAGCTGCGGGACTCTGGACAAGCCCCCCTCAAGCCTCAGTCTCCCCTGCAGGCTTCACTTCTCAGAGTTGCTGTGTGGGGGTCAAATGAGCTAGCACACATAACAAAACCCCCCAACCTCCCAGGGCTAGAGACAGGGCAGCTTCGGTGGGACATTTGACAGGCAATCCTCCTCAAATGTTCTGGGCTCTCCTTACAGAAGAGCTCTTGGGATCAGGGATCTTGAGGCAGCTGTGGTCTGGGGGAGAGACTGGAGGCTGGGCATCCTGAATTGGGGAGGGGGCAGGATTCTTTCACCCTGCAAAGAATCAGAGAACGTCTCAGCGGTCCCAAGTCGACATCTCTCATTTTGCAAATGGGGAAACCGGGCCTGCTATGTGCCAGGCACCGTGCTAGATGCTGCCTCGGAAGAGCCTAGGATGCCAGTTCTGGGGCTGGCGAGGCATAAGCCCTCTGGTCACTGACGTAAGTGAGTACCTGGCAGTCCCCACAGCTGAGTCCCAGAGAGACTCTGGGCATTGACGGGGGAAGCCGGGCCCAGGCCGTGGGGCTCGGCCTTCAGAAGGAAGGTGCCAGGCCGAGGAGGCCAGCTCCATTCCAGGGGGGCCACCCAGGATGCACAGGGGCCAGGGGAGACGGCGGCAGGCAAAGCAGTAGGCCCCACGTGTAGGTGCTGGGGTGGCCACTACCTGGGACGGCCCGGGGAGGGTGGCTGGGGCTGGTCGTGATGACGTAGAGGACCTTGGAGGCTCGGGCAGCACTGATGCTGAGGTTAGCCTGCTCGGTGATCACCTCAGTGAGGCTCTGGTTGAGGGTGGGCCCTGCTGGAGGTGTCTCCTCCTCGAGAGCTGAAAGGCAAATGAAACGTGGGAGAAGGTCTGTGGCATAAAGGGAGGACCAGAGGCTGGGGCAGCCGGGGAGGCCACACCCCACATAGGGAGCAGGCCGGCTGAAGAAGCGGCTGCTGGTCGGACCCCCTGCTGCCTCCAGAGATGACACATCTCACAGTCTGCAAACACAGCTGATCATTTCCTGCCTCCTCACCTCTGCTCACACAGTGTTTCCTGCCTAGGCTTCACCTGCCTGGCTGCTCCTCCAAAACAGTGACTGGCACCGTGGGTGGAGCACTGACCCTGGAAGCAGGAAGGCCTGAGTTCAAATCCAGCCTTGACACTTCCTAGCTGCATGACCCTGGGCGAGTCACAAAAACCCTGAACCTCCAGGGTTGTCTGGCTCCACACGTGTAGGCCTCTACTGGGGGGGGGGCGCCCTATGCTAAGAGCATGCCCCGCCGTTGTCCTTTGCTGCCCCGAGGACAAGGCCCCCAGTCAGTCTTCCCCAGAAGAGCCCCCGCCTGTCCCAAAGGGGGGAGGCCAGGGACGAGCAGGGTGTGGTTCCCGGGGGGCCTTGAGCACTTGGTGACTGCTCGGGAGGGTGCAGGAGCTGCACAAGGCAGAAAGGCTCGGAGCTTCCATAGTGGGTTTAAAGAAAAAGGGAAAGATTTTTTCGGGGAGAGGAGGACAGTCCTGCCTCAAGGCAGGAGGATGGACAAGATGACCTCCCTGGTGCCCTTCCAGGCCAGCGGCTCCCAGAATCCCCAAGCCCTGCCTTGGGTTAGTAGCTCCCACCCTTATCCAAGTTGTAACTGGGAAAATAACTACGGTGTCCAAACAAAAGGCGAGAATGGAACTTTTGAAAGGGGGCTCACTAGGAGCGTGCCTACACATTTCTGCTCCTCACTTGAGAAATCAGAACAAGGAGCACAGGGTGGGGGTGGGCGGGAAGGCAAAGGGCCTGGAAGAACTCCAGACTGGCCAGCGTGGGAGGCAGCCTAGGGTGATGGGAAGAGCCCGAACGTCCAGCCCGAACATCCAGCCCGGCCCTGCATCTGTCTCGTGAGGGTTGGGCACCTCCCCCCAGCTCTGGGACTTTATGTGGCTCCCACGTCCCAACTGCACCGAGCACTGGGAGAGCAGAGGGCGCTTACCTCGGTATATGACAGCAAATCCCTGGGCCTGATTGACACGGTCAGAGAAGAAGTATAAGATGACAAAGTCCAGGGAGACGTTAAAAGACGGCGGAGGGCGACTGCGGCCACTGAATCGCACCAGGACGCGGTGGGTGTAGCCGTCCAGCAGCTCGACCATGTCTGCTGAGTCCCTGATGTCAAACAGGGTGAAGCTGAAGAGGAGGCGGGAGGCCCCGGGGACGCGGATGGTCCAGTAGCAGGCCCGCCCGGCGGCGTACGTGTCGGGAAAGTCGGGGGAGTAGATGACCGCGGACACGGTGGTGTAGTTGCCCCCACAGGCTCCGACTAGCGCTGCCGAGAGGAGACAGAGGGGGTCGGGGAGAGCTCCAACTGCTCCTCCCCTGCTGCCCAGCTCTATGGTCAAAATCGAGCGGCCTATGACATCCCGTTGTCTGGGAGCTGGGGCTCTGAGAGGGGAGCCTCCCATAACTTCCCGGGCCCCTCCTCTCCAGCCGTCTGCACAGACACCAGGATTCCTCCCCACAGCCCGATTTACAGCAAGTCTGAAGGCATCGTCTGCCCCGTGAGAGGTGACATTCTTGGGGGCGAGGACAGTCTGGTTGGCTTGAATGTGCATCTCCAGCACCCGGCACAAAATAAGTGTTTAATAAAGGCTCCCCACCTATTGATCCATCTATCCCATCATGCATCATCTCATCCATCCACCATCTATCCAGCCTTTCATCAGTCTATCTAACCATTCATCAATCCATCCACCCATCATCTACCAATCCATCTGTCATGCATTCATCCATTATCTATCTCTCTGTCTCTGTCTCTCTATCTCTGTTTAATTCCCATAAACCTCTTGCCCTCAGTAAATCTTCTGCTATCCCCAGTTGAGTATGAAAGGAAGTAAACCCTAGGATGCCCATGCACATGTGTGTGAGAACAAAAGAGCTGAAGGGGTTTCTGCAGGATAACAGAATCCAAGCTCCCGGCTCAGGCACGAGACCTCGTTGAGCCAGCCAGCCCTCGCCTAGCACGGTGGAGGCTGGGTGAGCTCCACCTGGCTCCCGCTCTGGCCTTGGCCAGCCCTGTCTGCTCTAGTTCCCAGGCCGGGGCACCACACAAACAAGTAAGGTACAGACAGCGTGGGCTACGAGCCCAAGGACACGGGTGCAAACGCTGCCTCTGCCGCTTCCTGGATGTGCAACCTCTCAGATGCTCTGGTGTCTCTGGTCAGGGCAGACAACATTCTTCGACCTGCCTACACCACAAAGGCCTGTTCTGAGATCCAGATGAGCTCAGGCCTGGAAAGGGCCCCTTAGCACACTGTGCTGCCCAGCATCACGAGCACTTTCCAAATGATACAGGATAATAACACTGATGATAACACAACAGAACAATAACTAATTAGTAAAACAACACACTAGACACTCTCTGAAGTTTCTAAAGCACCAGAAGCGGAAGAAGTGGATGAAGAGCTCAGCCTGGAGTCAGGAAGACCCGAGTTCAAATCCAGCCTCAGACATGTACCAGCTGTGTGACCCTGGGCAAGTCACTTCACTTGTCTGCCTCGGTTTCCTTAGCTATAAAATGAAGAAAATAACAGCACCTCCCCCCAGGGTTGTTGTGAGGCTCAAATCTGATCATATTTGTAAAGTGCTCAGCACAGAGCCTGGCACATAGCAGGTGCTATATAATTGCTTCTTCTCTTCCCCTCCCTCTACACTTGCAGGATGCTGTCAGGGCGCTGAGGTCAGCAGCAGAGCCAGCATTTGAACTCCTAACCCTTGGGTCCTAGGCCCTGAGCCAGGGATCCACTAACAGCCAGATGACATCAGCCACCCGTGACGGATCATTAAGAGTCAGTGACAATTCAGTGGGAAACTTGACACTGACGAGGATGCTCAAACTCCTCCTCTCTGGAGGGGCAGGTTAGTCCGGAGAGCGAGCTGGCCGGTTGCTCGAGGACAGCCAAGCATCTTCCCTGCCTGGGACTTCGCACCTGTTTGGCTTCTCCCAGACCCCACCGATATAAACCCAGCTGGCTTCTCTGGGGACCAGGAGCCTCAGTCGTCCGCTGGGACAACAGGCCCCACAGGGACCATGGGGTCTGCCGGGGTCCGGCCTGGACAGTCAAAGGAAGAATGCAGGTCAGGAGAGCCGACCCTCAGCTCATGGCTCTGAGCTGGATTCCCAAGGGGCTGGCAACCAGCACAGGAGAAGCGGAAGTGGCAGGGTCCCCAGAGATAGCTCCCATGCACTGCCAGCTGCACAATCTTCTCATTCCCTCCAAGGGTCCCGGCCCTCTGCAGCCCCTTGGATCTTTGCCCTCGACAGAGAATCTCTGAATCAAGACCTAGAGGGGATCTCAGAGATGCAATGCCCAAAATTTATAGAAGAGGAAACTGAGTCCCAGAGAAGTTAAGAGACTTGCCTGAGGTAGAACAGAGAGCTGCCATTTCTTTGGGATAAACAGCTTTAAGGGAAGGGTAGACGGTGCTCAGAGAAAGCTGCCCCACTGGCCCCAACAGGCACGGCCAGCAGCTAAGAGCCCGGGAAGCCCCAGGGGCCCCAAACAATCAGCTTGGATGTCAGGAGCACTGCTTCCTACCAAGAACAGCCATTATTAGAGTGATGAGAGCATGCCTCCGACCACTCCTATGCCTGGCACCACCCAACACTTTCTACAAGGACATGGCAGTGATGGCCCACTAGAGGAGACAGCCAGTATCCAACCAGTTAGAACAAGGAAATGCAGAATCTGACCAGGACAAATGGTGCTATACTGCAGGGCAAATGAGCCACTTCCCAAGTCCGTGATGGGGAGGCGGGGCCCAACGTTAGAACAAATATGGGAGGAGAGGGCAGTGGACCGAAAGGCAATATGGCAGCCAGCAGAGCGGCTGAGTCTGGGTGCCAGCCCTGCTGCGCTCTCCCTGGGCCTGCCCCCTCCTCAAGAAGTTGCAGTGGGGTTGTGAACTGATCCATCCATTCTGGAGAGCAATTTGGAGCTATGCCCAAAGGGCTATAAAACTGCGCATACCCTTTGACCTAGCAATAGCACTTCTAGGGCTGTATCCCAAAGAGATCATAAAAATGGGAAAAGGACCCAGATGCACAAAAATATTTATAGCAGCTCTCTCTGTGGTGGCCAAGAATTGGAAATTGAGGGGATGCCCATCAATTGGGGAATGGCTGAACAAGTTGTGGCATGTGAATGTAATAGAATACTATTGTGCTATAAGAAATGATGAGCAGGCTGACTTCAGAAAAACCTGGAAAGACTTGTCTGGTCTGATGCTGAGTGAAGTGAGCAGAACCAGGAGAACGTCGTACACGGTAACAGCCACACTGTGTGATGACTAAGGTTGACAGACTTAGCTCTTCTCAGCAATGCAAGGATGTAAGACATGTCCAAAGGTCTCACGATGGAAAATGCTATCCCCATCCAGAGAAAGAGCGATGGAGGCTGGAGGCAGAAGGAAGCAGACGACTTGCTCTCCTTTTCCTCTGCTGTTTTGTTTTGTTTCTTTTTTCTTGTGGTTCCTCCCATTGGTTCTAATTCTTCTTTATAACGTGACTAGTATGAAATATGTTTAATATGAATGTATAAGTAGAGCCTCCTATATCAGATTACACGCCATCTTGGGGAGGGGGAGGAGAGGGAGGAGGAGAAAAATACAAACCTGAAAAGCTTATGGAAGTGAATGTTGAAAACTAGAAAGAAGGAAGGAAGGGAGGGAGGGAGGGAAGGAGAGAGAGAGAGAGAGAGAGAGAGAGAGAGAGAGAGAGAGAGAGAGAGAGAGAGAGAGAGAGAGAGAGAGAGAGCAGCTGTGGTGGCTGTCCATGGCCTCTTGTCGGTCTGGCCTTGGAAGCCCCTGTCCCCCTGGCCAATGCACCTGCCGGCATGAATCCCTTCTACAATCTGCTTGCAGGAGAGGAGCTTGGCATTCAGCTGAAGTCCTCCTGGGATGGGGAGCTTCCCTGGCTCTGGGGGAACCTGTCCAGCCTTCTGCCTCTTCCAAGTGACCTCCCTTCTGCTCGCCCACTCCTTGGCCCTCGCAGTGGAGGGACGGACTCACGGAGCTGGGGGCGGGGGGACCTCAGGGGCCATCAACTCCAACCCATACCTGCTCAGGGCTCTCGGCTATATCCCCTGCCAAGGGGCAGCCGGGCTCACGGAGTAGAGGCTGCCTGCCAGCTGATGCCCCTTGGCCAGGAGACGTCCTCTGCCAGCTCTCATGCCCCACCTGTCACTCCTGGCCTGGCCCTCGGGGGCCAAGGAGGCAGCCTCATCCCTCCTCCACAGGCCAGCCCCCTCCAGTTGGTCAGCATCTTTCAAACAATCCACAAGACCTTAGGAAGGGACCCTGGCCCTGGACAGGTGCCTGTCCTCAAGGAGCTGACATCCCCTGAGATACCAAACGGACAAGCAAGGGGATTTATCGGGAGGGTGTGGGCAGTCGGGGGTCAGCAAAGGCTTTATGGGGGGCGCCTGGGCTCAGCTCTGAGGCGAGGAGAAGGTGTGGGGTGGACAGCAGGGCTTGTGAAGGGGTGTCCGGCACAGTGAGCTGGGATGGCCGCAAGGGACAGGGCCCCTGCAGAGGACTCTGCCGCCGCCCCGTGGCTCCCAGGAATCCGTCCCTCCATTGCTGCCCCAGCGGGGGCCAGCTCTCCCTCTCCTGTCCAGAGCTCCTCAGTCATTAGCAGCCCCAGGACTCGGGGCATACTCACTGTCAAAGAGGATGACCCTGCCATCGCCACCACAGGGCTGGGTGTGGTCCCCAAAGCAGACGCTGTTGCATTCAGTGCTGGCTGTCTCCCCGTACTTCCAGTAATCGGGATTATTGCCACAGAAACAAGCATAACCAGATTCCATCCCAGCAAACTGTGGAAAGAGAAACAGAGGCACCAAGGCTGATGGGGGCTGACATCTGTCAAAGGGAAGAAGTGGCCCCCCTCCAGGCCCAGCCCAGATGCCATTTGGATTCTGCCCCCAACCCCCAGCCCTGGCTGGCTGCCCCAGAGGATCCTACTCCCATGAGGGCTGCTGGAAGAGGTGTCCAAAGCCCTCATTTTATAGGAAGGACCCAAGACGGGGAACCCAGGGAGTCAGGGAGAGGGCAGGGCTCAAACCCAGGGCTCTGGACTCTGCTTGGACTATTCTCTTGGGTAGCATCCATGCTGGGACTAACGGGTGAGCTTGTATCTTTGGGGCTCTTCAGACAGAAGCAGAGGGCACTGCCCAGATGGCTGTCCCTGGAGCCAGGGGGCTTCCTGGGATCAGACCTGAAAACAGATGTCCCTCCTCGGCCCCTTTCGGCTCCTCAGCAAACACTTCCCCCCAGCCCTGCTCTAAACTGCCAGGGTGCCAGGCCTGTACCAGCGGTACCCACCGTTTGATGTGGTGGCCCCCAGGGCTCCCCTGAGCCCAGGCATACGTTAGCACAGGTCCAGTGTCCAGACCGAGGGAGACTCAGAGCTGGGCAGACCACAGCTGGAGGCCTGGGGGTGGTCACCACAAGGGCCCAGCTGGCGAAGGGCCTTAAAACCGTGTCACCTGAGGACCAATGGAGGAGTCCTCTGGGGGAGGCCACAACTGTGGCTGCTGCATATCTAGAAGGGGTGACGTTGGTTGGAGGGATTAGATTTACTCTGTGGCCTTGAAAGAGAGGGGCTATGTGGGGAGTCAGAGGGAGGAGGATTCAGGGGCCCAAACAATGAGAGCCATCCAAAAAAGAAACATGCTGCCCTGTGAGATAGTGAGCTCCCTGTCATGAGAGGTGTCCCAGCAGAGGGGAGAGGTCTATTGCTGGACTCTAAGGCCCCTCCTGGCTCTGACCTACCTGGCAGAAGAGAAGAGTCACATGGATTGATGTGGGGTGGAAAGAGAGTCAGTCTCAAAGCCATGGGTTCAAGTCCCAACTCTGAGGCACATGGGCTTTGTGACCCTGGGCAAGTCACTGACCCTCCCAATGGACTGGGTGACTAACATTCTAAGGCCAGAAGCCACAGCAAAAGCGTTGATCTGCCCTAGCGGAGGGGGCTTCCTCACCTGGGGGTTTCCCCAGATTAATGAAAGCACAGGCCCCATCCCCAGCCCTCTGAGGAAGTTAATTAAAACAATTCTAAACCCACTGACTCAAGGGCTGTTTAGCCAAAGGTTCAAGCATTTTCAGAAGGTTCTAATATGAAGAAGGCCCTTTGTAGGAGGCCGAGACGTTCTTACCTTGAATTTCTGACTCCGACAGAAACTGATGCAGTTCTGAATTGTGAGCTTATTGGACGTCTTGCTTGTTCCAGTCAGAGGAGGGGGGTTCCCATGGTCTCTGTAGCAGCCAAGATTTCCAGGCACTGCAAGAAAAAAATATGGAAAGAATCAGACTGCCAGAGACGGGAAGAGACTTTAGAATACAGAATGTTTGAGCTAGAAGGATCTTTGGGATACAGAACAAAGGATGGCAAACCTGGAAAGCACCTTAGAACACAAATATGGAATGTCAGAGACAGGATGGACCTTGGTACACAGAACAGGGATGTCAGAGCTGGGAGGGGCCCTAGAACAGAATGTCAGGGCTGAGAGGGCCTAGAGAACAGGGAATGTCAGAGTTGAGAGGGGCCTTAGAACAGGGAATGTCAGAGCTGGGAGAGGCCTTAGGACAGGGATGTCAGGGCTGGGAGGGGCCTTAGAACAGGGGATGTCAGGGCTGGGAGGGGCCTTAAAACGGGATGTCAGGGCTGAGAGGGGCCTTAGAACCTAGAACATGAAATGTCAGGCAGAACCAGGAGGGATATTAAAACCACTAAGTCTAATCCTCTCATTTTAGGCCCAGGGCAGAACAAAGGTCAGTCTCCCAGGGCAGGGCTCCCTCCACTAGCCCAGGCTGCTGACCAGATTTCACCCCTGGCTCCCGGGGGCTGGGCAGCAGAATCGCCCCCATCCCACAAACATGAGGGCAGATGCCTGCAGCCCACCCTGAGTGGAAACACGCAGCAAATGAAAAATCTTTAAAAAGGGAAGTCAGAGGGACAGCTAGGTAGTGCAGTGAATAGGGCACCGGCCCTGAAGTCAGGAGGACCCGAGTTCAAATCTGACCTCAGACCAAACACTTGACACTTACTAGCTGTGTGACCCTGGGCAAGTCACTAAACTCCAATTGCCTAAACATAATAATAATTTTTTTAAAAAAGAGTCAGGAACAGTGGAGGAGAAAACACCCAGTGGCAAGAGCAGCCGCAGAAGGAAACACCCACGAGGAGAACACTGTGCGGATCCATCCAGAAGCAACCACACCCCTCTCCCAGCTGCCTGACTTCTGCCCCATTGGACAGGACGGCTCGTGTGTGCCTCTGCTGAGAAATCCAGAGGCAGGCTTGAGGGCAGCAGAGGCCGGCCCCCACAGCCAATCATGCTTCTGCCAAGGACGTCTACTGTGAACTGGGCTGTGAGATGTTGCGCGTAGGCTCCCCTCAAACTGCCCCACAGCATGAGAGCTAGAAGGGCACTTAGAACCAACCCGTCCAACCTCCACTTTACCAAGGAGGAAACTGAGGCTGGAGAGGTCAAAGGGCATAAGGTCCAGAGTTGGGAGTGCAGAGGTCTCACATCCCACCCTCTCATTCTGCAATGGAGGAGGAGCTGAGGTCCAGACGGAAGGGGCTCATCCAAAGCCAGAGCTCTGATCACCATGCCACCCAGCCTCTAGAGGGAAATGACCCACCCGAAGACACACAGATGATGCTCAGCAGAGCTGAGTCCTGGCCTCAGACCCCCAGAGCCAGGGCTCCCTCCTTCTTGTGGGGAAACCTGATCTAAGGCCTCCCAAAGACAGAGGGGGCCCGAATGGACAGAGAGGTGCAAGGACGGGGCGGGAGCCTCCTCCAGGGTCCCTCTCCTGGGCTGAGTTAAATCTCTCCAGAATTGAGAGGAGCTGGTGACTCATCTCAATGTCTCCTGACCTCATGCTGAGCCTGCCCAGGAAATGATTTCCTTCAGGGTCACACAGGGAAGAAGCAGCAGAGCAGACACTAGAACCTGGGTCCCTTGACCCCGGCCAGCCAGGGCTTGCTCTCTCTGGAGGAGAAGTCGGCCCCCTTCCCCTTTTGCCTCCTCAGCCACTCACCCCTCCAGGCCAGCCAGGGCTTCCAGCCGCCCAGCTCCCAAGTGACAACCATATGGCTCATCAGACATTGTTCTACTCTCTCTAAGCCTGGGGGACTGCACAGCCCAGTTTAATAAGCTTTGTGTGATGTACAATTCTCTGGGAGCATCAAAGGCAGAAAGTAAACCTCGGCTTTGAGACAAGCTCATCCTGAAGGCTCAGACAATCTCTCTGCAAACAGGGAGGGAGGGGGAGGGGGAGGGCCGGCCCCCCCAACCCCCACTGAATGACCCTTCTCCCTCCTATCCAGCGTGGCTCACCTAAGGATGCACACGGAGCAGCAACAGGAACAAGTGTGAACAGAAAGGCCCCCCCTCCCCCCTGAGTAGGGTGCTCAGGGCTCCTTAGGAAGGGGAGCTTTGGTCTGGCCACCAGAAGGTCCGAACAAGGGCAGCATGCTTGTGGAAAGAACAGTGGATGTGAAGTCAAGAGGAGTTGGGTGTGAATCCTGGCGCTGCCTACAGATCCCCAGGTGGCCCCCTTTCCTCAATGAGCTCAGTCCGTGGCTCACAACTTTCTCTCCTCCCAACTCCTGCCTTTGTTCTGGGGGATTTCAACACACATCCTGCCTCTCCCTCAAACCCCGAGCCTCTCACCTCCCATGACTCCCTCCTCCACCCACCTCAGCCACACTGTACAAAGATGGGCAGATCTGCGATCTCGCCATCACCCACAGACGCACCACCTCCGTGCTCGGGGATTGTGCAATCCCCCTATCCAGTCATAATCTATGGGCTTTCACCTGTCCCTCTGCCTTCCCTTGCACGACCCTACCCTCCATCTGCACCGTGACCTCTAATCCCTTGACCACTCTGTTCTCTCCTGGGCCACCCTCTCCTCTTCTCCCCATTTTGACCCCCTGGTGAACCAACTGAACTCCGCACTGCCTGACTCTTCTGAATCCTTCGGCCCTCATCATACACCCAGCCGAGGCTCAGCCTTGGATCACTCGCACCTTTGTGCCTGCGCTGCTCTCCAGAGTTACCCGTGATCTCTTAGTTTTCAAAGCCAATGGCCTTTTTTCAGTCCTCACGCTTTCTCTCTGTAGCCTCTGACACTGTCCCATCACATCTCTTCTCTCCAGGTGTTCAGGACACCAGCTCTCCTGGTTCTCCTTCTTCCTTTCTGACCGCTCCTTCTCTCTCTCCTTTGCTGGATCCTCCCCCAGATCACCCCCTCAGGCCATGGGTGCCCCTCAGGGCTCTGCCCTGGGTTCTCTCCTCCCTCTGGAGGAGAAATGGGGGGTAATCTTAGAGAGAAGGCACAACTTAAGGAGGAGGAGGAGAAAGAGCTTCTCGTAGAAGGCAGAGCTTTAGCTAAGGCTTGAAGGAAACCAGGAGGTGGAGATGAGGAAAGAGAGAATCCCAGTTTGGGGGCATGGCCAGGCAGGGGACGGGGCAGATGGGGGACAGGAGGTAGAGGGGAAGGAACAGCCAGGGCCTCCAAGAAGCAACAGGTGAGAAGACGAGAAAGGCAGGAGCAGGGAACAGCTGGACAAATGTGGCTCGTGACCCTCGTGAAGCAGAAGGGCAGCATAAAAAATGAGGAAAAGGAGTAACGTGGAGAGGCCTGGGAAGACGTTTATGACCTGGTGCGCGGTAAAGGAGCAGAGCTGACAAGGGCGCAGCACTGCGGGGGGTGGGGGGCTGGGGTGGAGGAGCGAAGAGGAGATGAGGAGCTGCCCGCCCTCCCCTTCCTTCCTCCAGTGTGGCCTGGGACGCTGAGCAGGGGACCAGACTGCTGACCTGCGTGTGAACGGCCTTTTTACTCCCAAAGCACTTGTTAAACCTCAAGAGCTACAACTATGCTAGGCATTATTAGTATTTTCCTTGACCACAACAGATGACTACCTAGTTAAGGACGGGGTGGGGGTTAAACTCAGAAAGAAAGGCTCTATGGAAACAAAAGATAGCAAGAGATCAAAAGAAAAAGAAAAGAAACCTGCCGGCGGCAGCGCTGAGGGCAAGAAGAGGGAAGGGGGCATTCGCCAGCCATGTCGCAACAGGTGGGTGGGAGCAGGGCTCACTGCATGGTTCACAAAGTCTCCATGAAGTTCACAGAATTAGAGCCCAGGAGAGGGAAGCTCGTCTGGATTGGGTGGTACTCGGCCAAGGTCACCCAGCCAGTCAGCGGCAGAGCCAGCCTCTAAACCCGGGTCCTCAGAGTCCAGATCCAGAGGAAGCTGGAAAACTGTACTTGGTCCCATCACAGGCCTCAGCTGGTACGAAGCCTTCGGCAAGTCTTGGGGTAGCCCCTGTACAACAAGGGGCTTAGGAGAGGTCATTTCCACTGGACCTGGAGGCAGGAGGATCTGAATTCAAATCCAGCTTCAGACACTTACTAGCTGAGTGGGCAAGCCACTTCACCTCTGCCTCAGTTTCCTCATATGGAAAATGAAGATAACGATAGCACCCACCTCCCCGGGTTGCTGTGAGGATATTTGTAAAAAGTATTTGGTCACAGTGTCTGGCACATTGCTTATTCCTTTCTCCCTCCCCCTTCCGCTCCAGGACAGGAGGCCTCTGGAAGAGCTCTGATTTTGCGGGGGAGCTTGACACAAGCCCAAACCAAGGCCCAGCACACACTGGATAGTCTGACCTGAGATCGGGGCAGGGATGAAGAGTTTTAAACTCCTTCTCCCTCTTCTGAAATTCCTGTTACTATTGAGGGTGCCGGCTTTGTAACCTCAGTGCCATCTCTGACGTTCCACTCTTACCCCGCCCCACTCCAGCCATCATCTCTACTTGGCAGCATCTCTTGAATCGGCCCCTTCTCTCCTCTGACCCTGTCCCCTCCCTGGTGCAGACCCTCATCACCCCAGAATTACTGCCATACCTGCCGGGGGGGTCTGCCGGCCTCAGTCTCTCTCCACTCCCATCCACCCTCCATCCAGCTGTCAGACTGACCTGCCCCAGGCACTGGTCTGACCCTTCCCCCCTTCAGGCTAAAGGAGGGTCCCTCTGGTGTTCAAAGGCCTCCATGTCCCCCCACCCCCCACCCCGGCCTTCTTCCTTAGCCTCCTCCAGTGACAGTGGCCTCCTGGCTGTTCTTGTGCAACATCACATCCTTTGACCCCAGATGTCTACACTGACTGTTCCCCATGTCTGGAACTCTCTCTCTCCTCATCCCCATCTGGACTTCCCTGGTTTCCTTCCAGCCTCGACTAACATCGTGCCCTCTACAGGCAGCCTC